GAGACAAACGGTAATTTATCAAAGGGAAAGGTTGGACTGACTAAATCTGGTGATGTTTCTTCCACCTGGGAAAAAAGATCAAGAATTGGCAAAAGAATTCCTAATATGTCGCAAAAGTAGACACTGATTGAGAGGAAGATTACAAAAACAAGTTACTGTTCTAATGCACAAGCAACAAGTAAGAATAGGTTTGGGGTAAAGTGATCTGGCGGTGAAAGGAGGATACCGCTGGGCTCAGTGAAAATGTGAGATGGGGGCAGGGGGTGAGAGAGTGGTAAGCGGCCAATGCCACTTCCATGGTGCTGCATAACAAAACGTTTCAATGCCCCCTGAGGACTTTTTCTGAATTCCCTACTGAAACTCAGAAGTACCTTAGAGGATCACTCACACAAGTGAATACATATGGCAAAAGATTACATCATTCCACGGGATGACCTTGTTCTGCTCTGCGAGGAAATATAATCAAAGCTCAAAGGAATAGCCTGGACCAGCCCCAGTAGATTTGTTACCAACTTTACATTATAGTTTGTACCATCCAGTCCCCAGACACGACTTTGTATTCTCTGTGAGTGCAACTTGGTCAGACCTACACATGACCAAAAATCATGGTCAAATCAAGAAGAGAAATTGCAGAAATTGATTTTTTACTTGACGACGTGTATCTAGATCTGCTCACTGAACTATGAGCAGAGTCAACCAAGTGAAGGTTTTATATATACTCATTATATAAATATATTCTCTCCAGCAATACTTGTCAAATTCTAGGTGGAGGAATGCCAAAAAAGGACCAGCAACGTCTAAATCTCTGGCCGTTTCTGGGTGTGCCCTGATTTCAGCATTTGCCTGACACATACTCAAGGAAGATGTCAGCTCTCAAATGATACGTACGCAGGTGAAGGTGGAGTCATTCAATTAGTAACCACTGTGCAATTAAGCTTTGTATCAAAATAGAAATTACTTTTCTAAAAATAGCAGTAATGACATACTGGCTCAAGAGGAACAGACTTTTAAAAGAGGAAGATGAACAAAATAACAGCTCTGAAGGCCAACATGAAACTGAAGGGCAAAGCAAAGCAATGTAATAGAAAAACAAAATCCATAAAATCAAAGCCCCGAATGCTTAACAGTCTCAGATAGCACAGATGGGGTTTAAATCTCAGCGGTTACGATGTTTTTAATAGCATTTTCTGAGATAATTCTGTTATTTCATTGTGGCAAAGAGCTGGGAAGTAAGTGTGGTGTTTCAGATGTCACTGGTGCTAAGTTTTTATATAGGCCAGTGTTTTTAGGCAATTTAATGGAGAAGAGGAAAGGACAAACAATAAATAGAACAAGCTGGAGTTGAGGATACTCTTTAATCTATCAGTTTGTCATCAGTGAAGGAATTTTGTCACTATGGCAAATTGCCATCACTGAAAATGAGAATGACCTTGGCAGATACAAAGTTCTTTAAAGAGGAAGTTACAGAGCAACCTGAGTAACTTCACTGGCATTAAAACACTACCAATAAATGGCATTTAGCAGAGGCCTAAAAAGAATAAAGTGTGAAATAACAGATACCAAGGAGAGGATGTAATATACCCTCAATACCAACAATTGTCCCTAAAAGATTTAAGAGTGACAATATAGCACCTATTTTTAAAAATGGAATTGAGAGAAAACATAAGAAAGAGAAACTGAGCATTTCAGTCAATCTCTCATGGTTTTATTCAGTTTTACCTTTAATTTCTATTTTTGTTCATTTCTGACTTTCTCAATTAAGCTCTTTCCTGATACAATTTTTTTCTCTCCACCTTTTCATCAATGACATATTTCCTGACACTTAGTATTTGAGTCTTCAAGCATATTCTGTTCTGTCATTCTCTTTTCCTTTTTCTATATAACTTCATATCTTTCTTTTTTGACCAGCTGTAGGTAGATATGCTTGAATCTTTCTGATTTTTTTATCATAAATCATGCATCTATTCTTTATCCATTTTGAAGTTTCTGCTTTTCTTCTTTTTTTTGCTAACTTTTTTTTTTTTCTATGACTTATGTGATCCTTGAGTATGTCAATGCAATCTTGAGTAGAAAGGCAGCATTCACTAGCCTCGGTCCATTGATGGGGCCTAAAGAAGTTACTTTTTTATTTAATCTTCCAAGGGAAGCCTCTGGCAAATCAGAATTAGAACCAAATTCTTAGGAGTCTGCTCAGAGCCCTGACTAAAAAAAAAAAATAAAATACATCGTCTCCACTCATCATAGGCAACATATGTTCCTTCATATTCAAATTACTAGCTACCTGGTAACACGCATGTGAACGCTCACACACAAATGCTATTCAAAGTGTTAAATGCTATCAGTAAATATTACTCAAGCGCATTCAACATTTACCAAAAAGAAGATGGATCTAGGTCACGCGCCTCTCTCCCCGTGTGCAATTGTTTACTGTTGTGCTCGTGGCAGCGCTTTGACCAGGAAACCACATGACAGAGGGGTCCCTACCAAGGGACACCTGCCACTGGAAATGCCCCCTCGGCAGCGGCAGCAGCAAGGCGTTTGGAACATCTCCTCCTGCCTGACGCAGCTCTTACCTAGCTCTTCTGGAAAAGTGCAGCAGGCCAGAAAGTCACAACCCAAAGGCCCCCACAGTTGGATCACACCGCATTAAGGACTCACCCTCCCATTCAAGTCAATGGGACTTGTTTAATTAAGACAACATGGCACAAACCCAGGACATATATACACATATACATATATCACAGCAGTTTGAATTAATCCTGTCTGGAGGCAACCAGTAAGCTGTACTGGGGAAAAAAGGTCCTCCATCAGATTCATTCAATTAATTTAAGCAGCAAATGCCTGTTAACAGGTCTGTGTACATTACACAGAACATCCAGTGCTAACGACAAATGTGTTTAAAACTAGAATACTGTATAAAATAATACCTGTGAAAATAATTTCCAATTCTTGTAGGATGTTCTTTTTCTGTTTTCATTTAGAAAGCTTCATTTATTTTTCCAGCATAAGGAAAAGCCTTTATGAAGACTTTTTGAGGGATAACGCTTCATGAAAGTATCATTTTTACAGTCATTTCTCTTAGCATGCTCAAAATCCTAACATTAAAGACATTATTTCATCTTCTTATACACATGAAAAGGCTGATAAATGTACAAAGAAATCATCCAGTTAGGTCATTATGAAAGGACTTTGCTAAATTTTTGAGCAGTGGAATTACAACATTTCTTATCTTTAATGGAAGTAGAGTATGGGGAGTAATTGACCATGAGCTGTCCTGAGAGAGCTCTTTAGCAGTTGTTTAGGGGCAAAAAGCATAATAAAGAAAACGTTTAAAAAAAAATCTTGGAGTCAGCAGCTTAAAGATCTTTTCAATTTCACTCTCTTGTCTTAAAATGTAATGAAGGTACAGACAAACCTATTCATTTTATAAACCTATTCATTCATCTCCTGCTCTCTACTTTACACTGTCCATCATTAATTTGTAACATCAAACAGCAGAAAAACCCTCCAGGTCTCAGTTTCCCAGGCGTGGGCAAGTAAGGTGTGGAGCTAGCCAGACGACTTAGTATGGACTCTGACAAATCAAAACCTTTTACAAACTTGTCTGCGTACCTAATGATCAGGGAATGCACCGCAGAGAGACTGAGAAAAGGATCTGACATAGGCCCAGCTGTGCTTCCTGAAACTCTCTTCAACCGAGGCAGTTCCTAGCTGCACTGTTAAATCAGATAACCCTCTTCTCGGTCTGCTCACGTATCCCAGCAAGATTAAGCTAACAGCCTTTATCTTGCCTATAGACAGTAAGCGTGAGGAAAATCTAATTTGAAATTAACCTACCCCTGAAGCGTGACTTGTTTTTCTCATCGTCTTAGCTTACACCATTACTGCAAAAATGGTATTTGTGGTCACTGAATGATGCACTAGGACTCAATTTGAACACTGTTTGTTAGCTTGATGATTTACTTTGAGAATGCCACAAGCTGACTAGATGCTTCAGAAAGATGCAGCTTATCATAAATAGTCCTCATCTATACCATCTGTTCAGTTCTTCATAGCTACAGACAGTTGCCATAGTTAAGGTAGCATTTACAAACACTAATCAAATTATTTATTTGATAAATTGTTCCTAATCCTGAACAGAGGAAGTAACAGGTATCTCAAATATGTGTTCGGATAACTGGGTCGATTAATCTCTGGGGCTAATAGTGCATCTGTTTGATAGGGCAGAGGAGATAGGGACAGTTAGCTCGGAAGACCATCCACCACCCAGCCAGTTTGCAGTACGTTGTTCACTGGGAAGCTAGCACACCTTGTTTTTACAGCTCTGAAATCATAGCGGGCAGGCAGCTGCCACTACAGCCTTGCCCAAACCAGGGAGAGAAGAACTGGCCACCATCAGTCTCTGCAACATCACCCTCTTCTCTGGCACGTTTTGGAAGAGCAGACAAGCTTCGTGTCAGTGGAAATAGCAGGGCTGTTTTTACAGTTGGTTTGCATGCCAGGACAAGGTGAATTTCCCCAATTCAAATGTACATTCCAAACTTTTGATTTAAGTTCTTTCTGATCACATAAAGAATGAGTTCGGAAGCCTAGAGTAAGTTATCTGCAAATTTTCAGCCAACAAATAACCATGAAAAGCAATTGTCCAAATCAAACCTTTGAGAAATTATCTTTGTTACTGCTCACCAAATTCAGCTCAAACATATGATATAATATTTCTACACTTTGAAAAATTTCTGAAACAATTTATTAAAACACACGAGGAATTCCTGAAAGATTTCAATCAACAACAATGCGAGTTCCTGTATCACACAATGAGTATATAATGACTTCAATTCGTTATTTACTTTTATTCTACTTACCAGTGACTGCTACGTACACCTCAATTTGACTGGTTTCTCAGGCTTGGACATTTGCAATCACTGCCTAACATCTCAGATCTATCTTATAAAATCTCACCAAATAACTTTTAGAAGAGAGAAGGGAAAATAGCATCATACCTGAGATTGTGCATTAATATTGGCTCCTTCCTTAACCAGAACTTTGACAACTTCAGTTTGTCCTGCTAAGGATGCGATGTGCAGGGCTGTATTCCCCTTCTGTTATAGGGAGGGAAAAAATGAAAGACATTACTCTTCTTCAAGAATAATTTCAACCAGCAGTTCTTTATAACATTCATTTTGTGAGTACAATTTTACCTTACAGTTCCATGATGTTCCATAAACATCACAGGAGATAGAACTGGTAGTTGCAGCCATGAAGACTTCTTGAGTGGTTGTATAACACTAACGTGCTAACATAACTTTTCAGTGAAATTATGGAATGGGATTGGGGTATGGGACAAACTTCTAGGTAAAGTTTAGTATGGGTTAACAGGTTTTTTCATTCAGGTCCAGAGATCATGCCCTGTAGGAAGGTAGCTGAAATCTAGAAGTCCTAAAAATCAAGCTGTGAATCACATGAAAATGAGATTTCCCAGTACGAGATCCAAAAGGAAGATCTGATTGTTAAGTAACAGAAACCAGCCTTTTAAATGCAGAAGATAAATCTTTTTTTCTCTTCTCTAATTGGCATAGAATTAAAATGCACATTTTTGAAAGGTGTTAACTTTAAGTTAAGAGATGCACTGCACAATAAAAATGATCTCTCATAAAACAGCAGCAGTGCAGTAGACCACTGCTTTTGTAAGACCCTTGTATTTTTTCCAGGCCAGTATCTCATCCTGGGAGCAATATTTAAATGGCTTTATTAAAGAATCAAGGTTCATAAAACCAGAACAAAGCCCTAAAGTCCATTCTAGAACGTAGTTGTTCTACCACCAGGTTCACTGACGGGTGACTTAAAGACGTTTTTGAAAGAGGGAACTTCCATTTTTCCATCAATGATGGAAACCACAAGTTCAGCAAGAAGCTCTCTGAGCTGAGGACCAAGTGTTAACCTTGATGGAGACCCCGTGCATCAGCAATCGTCAAAAATCAGAGCGCACCACAGGGACACAGTGGTGGTAACTAAATGCAAAGGCTGAGCACAGCCAGCCGACCTAGGCACTAGGAGTCAAACATTACATCATTCAAGCCAACAAATCTGGCCCATCACAAGGAATTTACCACCCATAGACAAATAAATAACATACTGATTTGAATATTTTGGACATACGGATGTGTCTGCCTGAAGGCAAAACAGCTTATCACACAGGTGTTTTTTCCATTGTGCCCTGGAGTGAAAAGGCTCTGGATATGATACAATCAATTACCAATTTTCACAGATTCAAAAAAATCTACTATTTTGAGCTATATTCACTCTCTGTATAATGGGGATCTGTCATTGGAAATAATGAAAAATCTGGCATTGCTAAAACCTTTTACTGCTTCCCCTGTAAACAGATTGTACAAATAATGATCTCTCCCTCTTCATTTACTACAAACGAGCTTCAGCAAAGAACATAGATTCGCAGGCCATAATAGAAATAACATTTTAAATATCAGTGAAGTATTTATATTAGTATCTTATTTTGTACTTGAATTTTTTTTTCCTACATTTCTCCCATGTATTTGACTTTTTCTTCTTGTGAATAAACTTGCAGACATGCATGAATTACCTTAGTGGCAGAATCCACAGCCGACCCTCTTTCCAGTAATTCTTGTACAAGTCCCACATGGCCTTCTTTAGCCGCCAGGTGCAGAGCATTGAGTCCATTCTGTAAGCACAAGGGCCATATCAATTACAAATATCGGTTCTGAAGATACACATTCCTCCCTTATCCCGGTATAAGAAGATGATTAGTAGCTGGAATACTATTACATCTCTTAGCTGACTGTCTACATAAGTCACATATTTTGGACTTGGCTATTTAAGCCAAGGCACTGTGTGACAAACTTCTCCAACAACATTTTTCTCATAGCAACAAAGCCATCAAAACAAACCATATTTTGCGAGTATCCATGAAGGATTCCTTCCTTTCTGATAGTTTCGCATTTCCCCAGACTACTACCTTGGGTATCTCCATGAAGCGCATTATTTCAAAATTTCAGTGCATATCTGTCTTCTCTTTACTGTAACCTTATCTAGCCCCACTGAGGTATTATCAACACAGAGAAATCACAGGACTTAGACAAATTTACACAGGATGCGTCTATTCAATCAGGATTATTCCTTTCCTCCTTTCCTCTGGGATAACTGGTATCTAACAGAAACCCAAAATCACAAGTAGACCAAAACAGTTGTCCATTACATGGGGCTTGCAAATTATATTGATCCTTGACTCAGTACCTCTGCTGGTTTCTGATGAGCAAGTCTTCACTAAACTTTGCGGTTTTGTAACCTCATTCAAAAAAGGAAAAGAAAATTAATGAAATAAGAGATAGGATTTTCCAAAAAAGCAATCTAAGAAAGTTAGCGTCTAAATCCTTTTCACATTAAATAGGAATAGGATACTTTATCTCTTATCAGTTCCAGCCATGGAAACGGTATCTTCCTATTCCTAGTATCCCTATTCCACCCAAAGGAAAAATATAAAATGACAGTCTATTGTAGCTGAATCGCCAACCTATTTTTCACAATCCTACAGTATTTTTCATGGTACATCAGGCAGCTGACAGCAACAGATACTGCCACTGCCCTCAAGCATTCTCCTGTTTTCCATATTGCAAGCATCATAAGTGATACTCAGGTATTTGAGTAACTTGCAGCAAGTTTAGCACTGTGTAATTTTTATCACTTTCCTTGTCTCTAAGTTCATTGTCATTTAAATTGCAAAATAAACAAGCAGCTTTCTGGTCTTTTATTTGTCCATCCACAGAGGCAGTTCAAGCTTGCAATTCCCAGTAGGATTTTAAAGCACTCGACACTTTACAGGAAGCATTTAATGGGAGCGGGTCCAAAGGCTGCAGACACAGCAATCCAAACGCATTTCTGAAGTAACTCCATTTAATTCCACATTCACGTAAGCAGCACAGGCAGATTTTGTGGTCCAACTCAGAAGTGCAACCGCGAGAAAAGCAAAGGAACTGAAGGACGGCTACATTCACAAGCTGCCAACAGAATACCCTTTATGCAGCCTGGTAGTTAGGAAATGTTCACGAGTAACGTGGTTTCAAATCCCACGATGTGGGTAAAGCAGCAGCAACCAGACCTTCCTTATTGCAGAGGACCACTGACCCCTGAGCTGCAGAGCCCAGGGGTGGCAGCCGTGCCATGCCCTGGGTCAAGGATAAATTCTCAGCCAGAATTCTGTGGTGAGGTTGACCATAATCATCAAGATGAGGAACACTGTACAAGTCAGTGAATTTTTTGTAGGCTGAAAACATTTTGGAAAGCTCTAATCTTCCTTGTTTTTTTAATCTCAGTTGAGTATTAAATCACTATAATTACTACCTACAGTGGTCGACAGCTTTGCAATAGTATTTTGTGGGGAAACATACAGTGTTCTTATTGTTTGAGAAGAAAGCCCTGTTCTCATATCTAATCTCACAGATTCAGTCATCAACATTTTCTATGAAGGTATGAACAGTAGCTTCGACTCCTTACAGCTGTACCCAGGTGATGTATTCCTACGACACATCATTAACCTTTTTCACTCTTTGCGAGCAGACTGACGTCCACAAACAGCAGAGAGAAACTGCAATATTGCATGGCCCACGTGAATTACGTGCAAATTCTGAATGCAAAAAGTTGGGGCAAGCTTCTTTTCTACTTTACCATGTGCCAAAGGATGGAGAAAGCAAGGCTTGTCCCAGTGCTTAATCAGTAGCAATCTCTCAAAATACCTGTATTCATACCCCTAAAACACATACCTAACGGTATCGCACTAAGTAGCTGAAAGCTAACGTTGCATAGATAACGTGAGTTTCTTTGCAACATATGACTTTTTTTATTCATTAAAACATATGCAAAATGAATACCTGAGGTCTGGTAAAAAGGTTACAGAAAGGAACTATAGCCGAAATACAGTTCCTACTGTACACATTCAAACTCTGTAATCCCTTAAATAAAGTAAGCTGGGGCAAGCAGTAGCAGAAGCAAGCACTGCACTTTAAACGCCGAGGGCCAGCACGACTGAAGCCTTAAAGCAAGCTCTGTTCCTCCATCATCAGAGCCATCGTGGCCGTTATTTCCCAACTCACAGGGCTGATCCCTGCTACTGATGATGCCGGAAGCTCAGATTTAGTCAATGCAACTCCTCCGTTCCTGTCAAGTGGATTCTTGTATTTTAAAAGAACAAAGGTTTCCGATACTTCCCTTTTTCTCTCCCATGCCTATCAAAAAGTTGAGGGGGTCGGGGGGGGGTATGATATGAAATTTGAACCGTGCAGCATAGGGACTGCTCCTCCCCACAACGCACGCATAACTACCTTTCTTTGAGAGGCTCATTTGTAATTCTGACTCTCACAGAAGAACACAATACTAAGCCTTCTAAGCTTGATTCCTGAAGTGTTTCCCTGCAGAGCCCAGATCCCTCAGTTCTTTTTCTCCTCTACCACTGAGCTAGAGGCGCCAACATTTTGTATCCCGTAGGGTGCTACAAACAGGCACACATACCACATCTGCTCACAGCACTTATTATAGCATCGCCCTACATATTTTCACCACACCAGAAGAGCCCACAGATTTCTTGTACATCACAGAACTCACCAACCTTTTCTCAGCTAATCAAAAGTCAGCCACTTTCCTCCCCGCAAGACAGGCTCTAGGTCTCACTGCTGATGTCTGAAAATCACCCAAAGAAAGTCCATGCTACTTCTGCCTTTGTATCCAGTTGCCTCCTGGAGTGACCCTCAGGGAATGGAAGCTCTTCAGCCGCTGCCCAGTTCAGCATCAATCCTGTGGGGCCATTTACTCCTTCTTGGACATCCCCCAGATCACTGTTAGATCCAAGAGCAATTGTGGTTTATACTACTCCTGCCTAACCCCGTTACACCAAAGCAAACTGACCGCACTGACAGGCACCTTCTCGGCAGAACATCAGATTAACCTATAGTTCAAAGACCCTTTTAAAGCAGCGAAGTCAGCACTGCCACCAGAAGTGCTCCCGCTTCTCCCGTCCTCTCCTCTGCTCGTTTCTCTCCCCACCACCTCTCTGCAGGTCAGGTCCCTCAATCCTTCAGTGTGAGGCTGCACACCTGCTGCTGCCAGCACAGGAGAGAGCACAGCACGGAAGCACGACTGGCGAGCCAGGGCAAGGCCAGGATCGCTTCTTCTGTAGCGGTATTGACTTACTAAAAAGACAAGAGAGATCCCCAGCAGTTGTCTAGCATTACTGCAGCTTCACTGACAAACCGCGTACCGAAGCCGCACTATGGGCACAGTGCCAGCTTCTACACCCTCCCCTCTAGGCCCAGCTGTGACAGGTATAGACGGTAACCTGGTAGTCTGAGAAAGCTTTACCCACCTTCTGCTGCTAAGACTTTGTGAGAAGTATACGGAATATAAAAACATTTAGATGGGGGAAAGAAAAGTGTTTGAAGGAAGTGGGGAAAAAGTCTTTATACAAGTGAACATTTGCTTGCGTTACTTCAGTATACAATGGTCACTGCACTAAAGAAAACAACCTTTGTTAAAAATAATGATTCTTACTTCCCTGAAGCTTACTTCCATTTGAAGGTATTCGTTAAGTACTAAATATCTTTAAGAACATTAGGAAGTAAGAATGGATATTAACAAAATTAACTCTCTTCTTTCCTGTACGCTAAGAGTCTGACCCCTTATAACTTCCATCGACTCTGATGGAAGTTGAGATGCAACACTTTCCAGGAAGATCTGCCAACGTTTGAGTTTCCAATTACTCTTGCCTTTGCCACACAAGGTTAGAATGGCATTGAAGCAATTTACAGAAAAAACATCACGAAAGTCAACAAAAATAAAAAACAAAAATCTATTTTTTTAATGTTTCAACATTCTCTTGAAGCATGCAATGCAATGCACTTTTACCAAGTTCCTTCCAGTGACGCTGTGTTCACAGGCTTATATATATACTAACAGGCCAATAGCAAAGCATAAGTTACAAACACAATGAAAATTAAAAAGCTGTTGTGACTAACTCTGCACGGTCGTCCTAACTCCTTTACATGTTTCGCCAAAGTTAAGAAGGCATCTGCACTCACCAGTAGAGGCTGAGACCAAAAAGCAGTATCATAGTCTTTGTTAAAGTCAAACACTTTTCTCAGCCTTTTTAACAGATGTCAGTCTAAGGTTGCTGCAAATTCTCTCCTCTGAATAAATCTCTTGGGGAAGTAAAAGCGCATGCAGTTGACCTCTTTTCAAGACGAATTTAAGAAAGGGCACATTAGAGAGCTGGGCACGGCCTTCTCAAGGCCAAAGGTTTGTTGAAGTTTTTTGCCCAAAATATCACAAAGAAATAAAGTGGACGGTCAAAAAAAGAAAAATCGTTTCAGATTATGAAAATTCTCTCTTTATGTTGCTTTATAGCCTATGAATTCATGAAAATGAATTAACCTACTGAGTGACATCAACATGTGATACTGTCGACCTCATTATGACTACAGTGCTACTTCAGTCTATAGTTAGCACTACTGGGAGTGGTAGCTGCTTTCCATTTGGACTAAATGAGGGAGTAATTAATAGCTGGTGCTCCGTCTCACTGTAACTGAAGCAATAAAGACGCCAATCAAATTATAAAGAAGCCAACAAAATGAGAGCAAAAGCCAAAGAGATCTAAGTGTTAAAGAGCCTTGGAGCTGC